GGGGTAGGGGAGGTGTGTGTGTGTTGGGGGGGCTTGTCACTCTTGGAATGGATTGTGTAAGGATGGAGAGGTGCTCCCGGGCTGAGGAGAGATAAATCACTCTCACGAGTCGCGACAGGCGCTTGCTGTTGTTGGTGCTTTTATTTTCCCTCTCTTTCTGAGGACAAGGTAGGGAGCAGAGGAGCAGCATGGTGTCCTGGACAGGCTCTGGGGTGACGGGGAGCGACTGAAGCGACGATGTCGTACATCCAGGTAGGTCTGGACCACCACACGCCGGCGCCTCAGTGTCACCTGGCTCCATCCGGCTGGCGCTGGGACCATTTCCCTCGTGCTCCCTCGCTCGCTCAGCCTTTAACCCAGCCACTCCTCACCTGCTGTGTCTGTTTCTGTAGTGCCCTCGCCCCCCAAAAGGCGCCGTTTTTTCGGCAGGGTTTAGGGAAAAAAAAACCTCCTCCCTTCCCAGTCGGCTTCCCTTTCGCAGGTTTAATTCCAAATGCGGTTTGGTAGCAAAACAAGCCCACAGGAGGGGCGACACTGCTACAGCCCTGCCTGTTGTCGTTAGTGTGCCGGTGCTCCTGAGTGAAAAGCAGAGGGAGCTCCGTTGTGTTTGCTGAGGAATTGATCTGCCTGCTTGCTGTTGTTTGTTTTGCTGCTGGCACTTTGCGATGGGTGATTTTTTAATTGCCCTGTTATGATCGAGGTACGTTTCTGCATGCATGTCAGCGTCTCCATCCTGGTCATTATCTCCCCCATCTCGGCACAGCTGTAATCAATATCATACAGCAGAGGCAACACTGAGAAGGTCTGCGTTGCGGCGCCGTGGGTCGGGGAATTGCCAACAGGTTGCAGCATTGTGGGCTTGAGTTGTTTTCCAAGTGCAGGAAAACATCCGTTTCCCGCTGACAGAAGCACTGCAGGGCCTCTCCATTTTCCCGTTGTGTACAAGGTTGTTTGTGTGTGTGTATGTGTGTGCACCCCAGTCTGGGTGAATTGAAGGCAGCGTGCTTTTTAAATTTTCACCATCTCCTCCGTCTGCTTGCCTGGTTAGAAAGGGGGACAGGAGCTGTCTGCCCTGTTTGATGCTGTTTTGTGGCTCTTGTGTCGTGCCTGGCTCGGTGAGCTGCTGTGCTGCCTGACCAGGCGGCCCTGGCCGGTCTCTGACGGAGCCTGTTTCTGTCACTCTGACCCCTTGTTTTATCAGCCCTGATAGAGCAGTAGGGGGTGTCAACGTTCCAGCTGGTGTTACTGTGGTTACCGTGGTTACTGCTACAGCTAATTGTAAAGACAACATTGGGACGGGGCTGTGGAGGCTGTGTGCCGTGAGCCCAGACTTGTCGGGGGGGGAATGGGGAGGGAGATGAGAGAGAGAGAGACGTACACAGGGACACAGGAAAATAAAACACTGCCACATGTAGCTCTTCGTCTGCTGGGGATAGTGAAAATGTTACAGCCTAAATAAATACATTATAGTGCCAGCTAATATGAGAACTGTAGCCACTTAACTTTACATGCACTCCGCAGGTAGAACTGCTGCGGCATCTGTCCTAAATATAAAAGGTATTGTTTTTTATACAGAAGCCCAAGAAAATCTAATTTTAGAGCGCCTTAAGACTTTCAGTTTGTATTGAAATGTTTGTTTCAAAAGAGGTTTCATGGTAAACTGAGTATCATGCTTTATATCATAACGATTTGGACTGAAGGGTTGATGGGACAGTCGGCGCTGATCTAGAAGACTCGTTTTTCCAAGCAAGGCTTGAAAATCATGGGGGAAATTGAAAGAGAAACTCGCTGGCAAGGAAACAGATCCTGCTGCAGTATCGGCTCTCACTGGTATTCAGGCCCGAAAGGTGAGGTGTACGGCGTCACATGTGGGCACAGCCAGCAGGACCAGTCAGCATGAGGACAGCACGGGTAGGACAACAGTGTCGTGTGGAGGGGTGATGGGAGGCGCAGGGCGTGGGTGAGAGACGGACCCCCTGCACGTTTCTGCCCATGTTCCTCGCTGCCTGTGGCTCCAGACTGGTTTGAGCCTGTGGTTCTGATCCAGTCCAGCCCCGGCCCCTCCACCCCTGCTCCCTGCCTCTCACTAAACTGTCTTTCCTGTTGTGTCTCCTTGGCTCTGCTCCACCGCCACTGTGAAAAAGGACAGCTGGAGCCCATCAATGAGGTGAGTGGAGATCAGCAGACACAGGACAGATTCTTCATGGGACCAATTCAGTGAGAAGCTCTTGTAATACATGCCTAATGTGTATGTGCAGCCTCAGTGCATGAATACATACTGTAGATATTCACTGTAGGTGCTGCATGCATTAGTGTCAGCTGAGACCTGCTCTTGGCACCCAATTCCTACAGGCCGAACAAGCGCCAACCAGCTCGGGCCTCAGGGCTCTGATCCGGGCATGTGTTTATTCCAACATTACTTAATAACTCCGGCAGTTGTCGTGTTAACAAAGGAGCAAGTGACCTCTCGGGGATGAGTGCTTTTATGAAGGTGCCTCAGTTTCTTTGCTTAACTAGTGCAATCAACATTTAAGCCTTCACTTGTTTTTGGTGTCGTGCCTCCTTTTGTGTGTCCTGTGAAGTCTGGAGAGCTCTGGAGGTGGAATCCACTGTAAACCAATTAAGACACTTCCACGTAGGTTTTCAGTACCTTACAAGACGAAAGTATAAATATTGTTTTTCTGTTTGTATTGACAAGTGTTTATTCTGTGGGTACAATGTGTCACCAAATAATATTAAAGCTAAATGTTATGTATTCTTATTTTTTAATTGCTTGGTTTGCTGAAACAAATTCTCGTTCTGTGCTTAATTACCACTTTACCGTTCATTAACCGGACAAAAAGGAGTGGGGCGTTAGTTTTAGGGTTTTTAGGGTCGAAAGCTCTCATCTCAGCTCCAGCTAGCTGTTAGGTTGTTTTTCCATAGCCTGATGAAGATAGTTCGAGGTGAAGATGGAGGAAAAAAATGCCAGACGTCATCTCTGCCACAGAAGAATGGTGTCCGCAGAAAAAAGATTTGATTTCCTCACAGCAAACAGGACATGAAAATTAATTTCTTCTTCAACTCTAACTTGTGCAATCATCGATGGGTCATTAAATATTAAAATGCCAATTTAAAAGCTAATTTTAAAGGCTCTCATGAGAGAAATCTGAAATGCGTGCTTACGTGAAACTGCAATTGGTGGTTACTCGGCCTCCTTGAAATTGCAAATGGCCTGGCCTCGTTTGTTAATGTGGATCGTTTTGCACATGTGGCTAAGTAAGACAAAAGAATAAAAGCTGACAATTCTAGGAGAAAAACAACCTCTTTGTTCCTGGCTCCGACAGAGCCTTAAGAGACAGGAGGATGGTGTGAGTGTCTGTTTGGAGCAGCCTGTCTACAGAAAAGAGGATGATTCATTCTCTTCAGAAGATATCATCAGCGGACGAAAAGTGAAGGATGAGGCAGCCAAGCAGAAAGGCATCTGCATAAATATTCAAGAGTCTCTCAACATGCATGTTACTGTTCCAGATGTAGCTTTTTCTTGATGCTAGAGCCGTGAGACTGTTGTCATTATATTGCCATGGGCCCAGGACATAAAACACTGCAAGTGTTAATCAAAGCCTTAAGTATGCAAGCCCTATTGTACAATACAGTAGGTCTCAATAATCGCCTGCCCTCACATCCTTCAGCAATGCTCCCGCTTTGTGAGAAACATCACCAGCTGTGTATCTGAACACCAGATATCACCCACAGGTGCATATCAGGGTGTTGCTTTTCAAAAGTTCAAAAGTAGCATCTAGGTTGTAAAATGTTTTTTAGAGCCTTCCTTAGGTAATGAAATATATTTGCTTGCGTTTTTTAAAGCTTTTAGTGGCAATATTAGCTTTTACCCACTTTAGATTTTTAGAATCGCTTTGCAATCACTGCTTTCTTTTGTATTCCCTTTTAATGAAACCACTGTGCATCTCATCTGGGCTCTGAAATTGTGTACGATATGGATTTTCTTTCATCACCCATTATTAAATAAATCAGATACTGCGCGGTTGTGGTAGATATTTTCAAAGATGCCCAATGAATAGTTCAGAAAAGTGCTCTGTTGGAACTAACATCTGTAATGCTTTCTTGCTACGGCATTCTTCACATCCTGTCACAGGGTGAAATAGATTTAGAATGAGTTTTTAGGGAATTCTGAATGTAGAATGCAAGAAAATGTGTTGTGGAAACAAGTTTAAGTCATGAAAAGTGTTCTCACAAGCAAATTACTTTGGAATTATTATAATTAATAATAATAATAATAATTCCTTGCACATTTTCTGGACAGTCCACTCAAAGCGCTTTACAGGTAATGGGGACTCCCCTCCAGCACCACCAGTGTGCTGCCCCACCTGGATAATGCGACGGCAGCCATAGTGCGCCAGAACGCTCTCCACACACCAGCTATCAGTGGGGAGGAGAGCAGAGTGATGAAGCCAATTCAGAGGCTGGGATTATAAGGAGGCTTTATGGAAGGACAGGAGGAGGTTCCGAGATTTCCTGTGTTAGCTGTTTCTCCTCTTCGTCTCGCGTGCCCAGGGCCTCCTGTCAAGACTGTCCAATTTCTTCCTGTGCCGCTGGACGTGCTGGGCCTGCTTGCAGTCATGCTGGGAGTGTAGCTGCTGCCAGCCCAGCGATGAGGAGGTGGAGATTCTGGGACCCTTCCCTGCACAGACCCCCTCGTGGCTGTGAGTATACTGTCCCCCAATACTGTATACAAAAATCCCCCTGGAGCCCTGCTCCTCTTCCCCTCTCCTCCACTCCACCACAGAGCTGTGCACTGCGTGTGCCCAGGCCAGAGAAACTCAGCACTCCAACCATCCACTGATCAGCCCAGAGACCGATCTCCTTCATTCTCCTCGCCGGCCATGCTGTTTTCCTTTCCCTTAATATCAGCAGCCTCCATTGCCTCGTGCTTTGAGATCCATGCTAAAGGACACCAAGGCGTGTAAAGGCAGAGGCTTGCTAGTTTATAAATTAACACTGTTTGTAACAAGTAGGCCATTTCACAAGTAGTGCAGTTCTTTATTTTGTGTGTGTTACCATTTTTATAGCCTTGATAATGTGTGGAGCACTGCACTCATTGAAGATGCTAAAAGGAGGCGTGTACAGAAAGCCCACCATTGTGCGGCAGGGTGATCATTTTCAGGTTTTCAAAGCTGCAAGGGCTGTTGTTCAACTTGCACTAATGTCATGGAACAGCAATGCAGCTCATTTTTGTGTATTAACAATTCCAAATTGTGCAGGTTGAGCAGGCCTGCTCCCAGTAAAGGGATTGAACCTGAAATTGACTCCCAGGATCCAGTGTCGACCCATATCGTAGCTGGCTGCTTGAAATACCTGAAACGGACCCAGCTGATATGCAGTGGTAGTGAATGAATAGCTGTTAGAACAGAACCTGGGTTCTGCTCTAACCCAGGTTAGCCGTCCTCCTGCTGGTCATCAGCAGTGCCATCTGAGTGACAGGAGAAAAGGGGATCATGAGGCCCTACTTTCGGAAGAGACATGGTGATCAGAGTGTATGGAAAAGCTGAGACTCCTAATGAGAGTCTTTTTAAATGGCAGTGCTGCTGCTGGTGCTGCTGCTGCTGCTGCCTTTAGCTCAAAATGACAAGGAAGTGTGTGTGTGTGTGGTGGGGGTGGTGGAGTGTCTGTGGCTCATTATCTGTCCTGTAGTAAATTCCTGCGAAATGAATATTAAATACTGTCACCTTGTGGCTTTACTGTGTTCCAATTATGACTTCAGCCTTCAGTAAGATATGACAGGCTGCCAGTGCACTCTGCTCTGTATGATTTAGAAATGTGGATTGCCAGTTCGGGGGGGGGGATTATTAAAACAGAACTCCAGCAGAAGCAGTAGGCATTCCAAGGCAGTCGAACAAGAGTTCCAGACCATGACAAGTCCTTTTAATACCATGTAGAGAACAGACACATCATTTCATCTGTAAATTACTTTTACGTTATCTCTAATACTTAGTCAGAATGACCTCTTGTTTTCCAAGAGATAGAAAACCTATACATACTGTACATTGAATCTTTCTTTCAGATTCTTGACCTTCATGTTAGTATACAGTGTCCTGTAGCTGTGATTTAGATAGTTATCAGTGCTCATGTTTTGATACTCTCTTCACATGGCCAGCCTGTGCAGTAAAATGATAGTAAAATGATAATGATTTCCTTCATTTGTGTAGTTCTTTTTATCGTGAAACATCCCAAAAGCAGGTCTGCCTGGCAAGACATACCGGTCCACCAACAAGACTATGCATGAAAACACTGTGGGCAAGTTTGATCTGAAGACATTTTATTTGTGTGTCTGTTTTTTATTACGATTTTCTTGAGGCGCAGTCATCCTTGTTCCCCATTCCAGAAGACGACGTTTGTCTCTGTCTCCAGAGAGTTCCCACACAGTCAGAGCTTTTTATCTAGGCGTAGAGCAGGAGAGTAGAGGTCAGTTTAATACTGAGGAAGGCCAAAGATACAGTACACCTGCTGCAATGAAGGCATTTAGAAGGAGTTCTGTGGTGTTGTACCATTTTCAGACAACTCAGATAGAACTAACTGGGTTGCTGTTTTAGGAACTTTGTAAGGACTTGGCCACTCTTGGCCACACTGGCCTCCCAGAATCCTCCCTCCTGCTGTTCCTGTCGTATCTGTCAGGAGACTGAACCCATTTCTGAATCCATCATTCAAACATGGAGGGGATTCCACTCCATGTGCCGTTGCTGGAGACAGGGGTCTGGGTTTAAAAAACGTGTCTTTCTGTGTAAGAGCTTCACCCCTCTGCTGCAGCACGCTTGCCCATCTTCCCAAGAATTCTGCCAGCCTGCATGCATAGAGGTCCTCAAAATTAATCCACTGACTTCCTTGCCCGTTAGTCACTCCCTTCTAAAAGCTAAAGTGTCTTGCTGCAAATGAGCTCGGTCCTATATGAGCCCTGCATCAATTTATTGAATTGCATCCTGCTCTCCAGTGATGTAAATCTTCCTTTTCATTGGGTCCCAGATGTGTTTTTGCAGTATTGGCAGGGTCGGGTTCGCCCGCACTCCAGCACCTTGGCACCGCTTCCCAGCTCTCGCCGCTCCTCAAACCCAGGAGCAGGCGGAGCCGCCGCGCAGCTCCTCGAGCCTCCGAAAGCCATGTGTTTTTGATTGCCCAGTTGCCATGGCGACAATCTCCTCTCCCTGAGAGCTGTAGCCATGGACTCAAGAGGTCCTCGGCAGTCCCCAGGGGTGCAAAGCAAAGCAGGCCTCCTTCAAGAAATCCTGTCCAAAAATCCACTTTGACTGAAGCCGATGGGAAAAAATCCATGGGGCCGATGCATACGGAAAGTGACTGTCCATAGATTCTGAACTGGCTTCATCTAAAAGTGAAACAAATATTTCAAAGCTCCAGCAAAACCTACCCCAGATGTGTACAACTAATAAGACTTCTGGTGGGATAGTCAGTTAAGCATCCACAGATCCACAGCCCCTCTGTGAAAATGTTCTGACTGTCGTGAACTTGGAAAATCTCAGCCTAAAGCCGGTCTCTTAATGCTGCTCCTGCTCTGAATGTTTCCCCAGATGGAAATATAAAAATCCAATTTCGTTTAAAGCTTTCTCTTGCTGTAAATGCCGCTGCGTGTTTGATGTGATTAGAGCGTCGTGATTGGATAAGGCCTCTGATGTATTGACTCCGCCATCGACAGCAGCAGCGCGGAGGCCGTGCGGAGAGCCTGCTCGTCTCACACGCCGGGAGAGAGACGCGCGAGGCGCCCGATTCGGGCGGGGGAGGACCTGTATCTGACCCCTCTCTGGCTTCCTGTAGGGTCAGCGACTCCAGCGGAGACAAGGAGGGGGACTCCGACGTGACGGCCAGCGACCCCCCCGCCACGCCCCAGGACAGCTCGCCGGACGGGCGCCGCTCCAGCTCGGACACCTCGCGCTCCACCTACAGCCTGGCCCACCGGCTGTCCAGTGAGTGTCACGCC